CTAGCCCCACTTTGCAGTCCCCCCTTTCTTTTGGCACATCTCCCATCAGATGCTGATACCCTGGTGCTGGTGAGCAATTTCTCGGTGTGGTCACCTCGGCAGCAAGCTGAACTCTAGCTTGCTCGTGATTTACATTAAAACTGTGCTCACTCCCATGCTTTGAAGGCCTCTGATCTCTAACAGAGATGAACGCAATGAAGTATTTACAAGAGAGCCCTCCAGGTAATGGCATCACATCATCCTTGATGAAGACCTTCGGGGACTTACTTCTAAAGAAGGACTCCTGGTGGAAGGGACCAGCCCACTGGCAGCCAGACAAGGGTCAGCGTATTAGTCTCTGGGGGTGAGGCCACAAACCACATAAACTGGTTACTATAAACTGGTTTAAGTTATTAAAACCACAGAAATTTATTCTCCAACAATTCTGGATGCCATAAGTCCAGATTCAAGCTATTGGCCTGCAGGGTTGCTTCCTTCTGGGGACGCTGAGGGAGAATTGTTCCATGCCTCTCTCCTTAGCTGCTGGTGTTGCTGACAACCCCTGGGCATTCCTTGGCTTGTAGCTGCATCACCCCAATCTCTGCCTCTATCTTCACACGGCCTTTTTCTCTGTGTGTCTCGTGTCTCAAATTTTCCTCTGCTCTCTCTTATGGCGACACCAGTCATTGGATTAGGGCCCACCCCAAATCCAGGATGATTTTATTTCAAGATCCTCATCTTAATTACATCTGTAAAGATCTGACCTCCACAGAAGGTCGTATTCACAGGCATGGTGTGTGCAGGGAGTTAGGATTTGGGCATATCTTTCTGGGGGACACAATTCAACCCACTACGCTGGGGTATTTTGGGGCCCCATAATCACACCCTTAGGCTACTTGAGACCACCTCCCCTAAGTGCAGAGTCCTGTGCTTGTTTGATATCTCACCAACTTCCCTGCAGAGGCTTTGTGGGGCTATCTTCACAGCCACATAAAGAAGAAAACATTTGCAGTCTGGACTTAGGCTCTTCACTACTTAGCAAGGATACTTATCAAAAACCATAAAACATAAGAAAAAGATGGGAGTTGACCAATTCCTGGTCTTCCAGGGTATCCACGGCAGGGGGGTACTGCAAAGCAGGGGGATTTTCTGTTGGAGTAGTTCAGAGAGGGCATCCCAGGGCAACGCTATTGTGCTGAATGTGACCTCCTGTCCGTTTAGGCCAGGATGGCGTCTGAGCTACCTTTAAACCCCAGGGTCCTGAAGGGGCTTTGCTTATTTTTTGGTCTGTTCTTAGCTATCCCATGTCCTTTCCAAAGAGAGGTCTTCGGCAATCACACAAATATTATAAATAAGGGAAGAAACATTCTGATCCTCTCTTCCCTGGGAGCTGCCAAGGGCAGGTGTGTTGTCTGGCCTGGACCCAGGTCCCAAAGGCACAGCTCTGCCAAACCCCTCCTCTGTCGGTTATTTCTCTTGGCTCATCCTCAACTCCAAACACCTGTAATTTAATTTTAAACACCTTTAATCACCTGGCTGCTTAAACCACCCCCTCACAACTTCCCAGCCTGACTCCCATCAAGCCAGCCCCCTCGGGGGTCTTTTGTTTCTTCTCCTCTGGCTTTCCTTCCTATCTACATGGGACCTTCTGTTCAGCCCCATTTTATTGATAAAGAGACTGAGGAATACAGAAGTGACATAACTTGCCCCATGTCTATGTAACTTGGGCAGTGGCTGAGCCAAGGTCCTCAACTTGCGATCCAGTGGCCTTTCCCCCAAGATTTCTGGTCCCTGATCTATAGCACTGGATCCTGGAACTACTTCAGTGTGGGGAGAACATCCTGGAGCAACCCAAACTTACTTGTGTGGTTGACCCCCAAATTACTGGAGCCCTGCCAAGGTGGGGAGCAGCGCTTTGTGGTCCCTGGCCAGGACTGGTCCAGATGGTGGGGAGCGCAATACTGAGGGTGAGGATGCACGCTAGGAAAGCCCTCCAGGCTGCCGGCAAGTTGCTGTTTGCTCAGCATTGTGCGAAGCACTTTACCCATTTTATCAGCTCGTTTTTCAGATGAAGGAAGTGTGACTCCAGGAAGATAGGCAATCTAGCACCTGAGAGTCTGAAGTGGTATCCACAGGTAAGTCTCTCACCAAAGGCAGAGTGGAGCTAAGAAGTACCACAGGGGAGGTGTGGGCACCTCCCCGAGGAGAGAGTGGAGACTGGTGTCCCACCCTGCTCCCCACTGTCTATCTCATTTGACACCCCTGGGCCATACATGGGCCTCTGCAGAAGCCACAGGAGCAGGCACAGTCCCTAAGGCTGTGGTGACATGTCTTCAGAACACCACGTTATTTTCTGAGAAACTGGTACCACTACTTTACGGTGAGTGGGGCAGGCCCATCCCAAACTTGGGAGAGCCTCAGAATCACCTGAGTACAGCTCATCTGTGCCCTACTCTAGCCTTGGAGATGTGACCTGCTTTCCTAAGCCACTCATCAGAAAGGAGTTACACAGCAGGTAGGGGATTTCACAGCATCTTGCGCTAGCCCAGCAAGACAGGAGTCAGCCTCATCATCGCACTGACGGTGGAGATGCAGAGCTGAGTGGCAGCCAGTGGTCACGAGAGGGAACGTGACGGAAGGGGATAATCAGGGCCTTCCTGGCAAGAGAGCCCTGGGTTGGGATCCACTCATATCACCTGAGCCTTCATTTCCTCATTTGAATAGTGGGCACAGTAAACCCCATGACACAGCATTGAGGTGTAGTCTCCACCTCAAAGCACTGTGGGTATTAAATTTGAGAACCGAAGCAAAGAACCTGAGTGGCAGCCTGGCCCTGCAGGTGCTCAGCAAATGACAGCCAATAATTGGGGGCCATACCAGTGGTGGGGCATATGGGCCTCAGATCCAAGTCCTTTCACTCCTAGACAGTGGTTCTCTCCCATCCAAAGGAGAAGAAATACTGAGTGGTCAAGAGACAATCTTAGCACAGTGTAACTGCAGATGGCCAGACTACACTACCTTTGTCAGGGCTTCCTTACATTGAGGCCCCTTCTTCTCCGATTCTGGCAGCAGCTAGGCAGTGACATGGTGCCTGAGCACACGTCTGCCAGGCCCTGGCTCTTTCACACGCTAGAAATAGGGCAGAATAGCTGGCAGGCACTTCTCTCATCCAAACCCTTTCCAGTGGTACCAAAGGAGTGAGAATTTGTTCCTGGACTAGGTCCTTGACTCCTTGCAAGGTATTTTCCCAGAGACAAGAATTAGTTTAAAAGTAGGTGGGAGAAAAATTCCTGAGAAAGGGCCACACAGTGGCAGTGACTCTATGCCAGGAGCCTCTCACACAGCCTGGCTTAAAGCTCACCACCACCCTCAGGGTAGGTGTGCTAGGCTGACCGTGGAGCCAGGTCTGTTTGGATAAGAACCATGCCTTGGACTCCATTTAAGTTGTTTTCCCTTTGACATATTTCTGAAAGAGCCAATAACTGAGCAAAGATGATCCAAATATGGGTACAGATAAGTGGCTATGGCTCCCCACTGCCTTCCTTGGGGCTCACAGGTGCCGGTGAGTTCCATGGTCTTGGCAGCCTGGGTGGAGTGGAGCCAGGTGGGAGGATGGCAGGAATGTGGGCTCCCTGCCTCGTATGCCCTCAGTCACATCAGCACCCAGGAAAGAATAACTCCCACATAAACGATGCTGCTACTCAGGAAGTCACCTCATCTGGGCCACATGTCTGGGTTTTGGACCTTGACCCCATTGCTTTGTTGGAGCAACTTGCCCTGTCTCCACCTAAGCTGCCGGGCCTAGTTTTCCATGAGCAGGCTGGGCTGGAACTAGAGGAATTCTCCACAGCTGTTGATACAACAGTCAGAGCGACTGTCTGAATGCCTGCCATGTCTCCTGCTCGGCAGCGCCCCATCACCTGTGGTCAAATTCTGTACTTTTCAACTGCATTATCAAGACTATCCACTACCTAGTCCCATTTCACAATGAAGGTACGCCACATCCCAGCCACACCAGAGAGTTGCCCTCCCTGCTGTTCCTGTTTCTCCACTACAGCGCTGGCACACCAGCGAGGCCTTGGGTGGTACAGGCATCTGAACCAGGGAGAGCTGGGCCTGAATGCTGGGTCTTAGTTTATCACTGCTGAGTGATCTTGGGTTTTAAGTCACTGTACATCTCAGGCCTCACTCTTCTTCCAGGTGAGGCCAAACTATGTCTAAGACCAGGGCAGAGGCTTTGGAGGGAAGAACCAAGAGCTGCCTGGCCTCAGAGAGCTTCTCTTTAATTCCTTTCAGCCTCAGCATCCTTACCTGCAAAACAGGAAAACTACCACCTTCCTTGCAGGACTGTGGAAGGGACTGAAGGGGAACACCTGGCAGGGAGGGTCTTGACAGCTGTCTTTTTTCTTTCTTACATTTCAACACCCTACACCTCCAGGGTCAAGCTCCAGCCTTTCTTCTCTGCAGCCTCAACCCCTTGCCCTCCTCGGCCCTCATCTCCCTTCTGCCTGCTGAGCACTCACGCCCCCCCACTCATTTTTGCTCACCCAGCTGCCTGGGGCCAAGCTTTCACTGCGTCTGTGGGAATCCCCAAGGCAGACGCACATTTCCTCCTGAGTGGGGCTTCTACCCTTGCTCATTTGCTCTGGAACCATGGACTGGTTGGATCTCAGACAGACCTCAAACACCTGTCAACCCTGCCTTCCTCAGAGCAGGAGGCCAGCGATGTCCCCCACAGAGGGTTGGCAGTACCTGCAGACGGAAGTCTCAGCCGGCCTGCCTGAGTGGGGGCTGGAATTGGGAAGAAAAAGGAGGTGGGAAAGGCCACGTCTATAATTCTTTTCCTCTCCACAAGAGGTGAGCTCCAGGACTAGAGCAGGTGGGACCACCTGCCTCACACTCCAGTGGAATATAGAGGAGGGTAAGTTCAAACACTTCCAGACGAAATCTTCAGAAAAAGGAAGTGAGGAAGAGAGACTGGAACAGAGTAAGTTATTTCAAGAACCCAGATTACTAAAGACTTAAAGTAACAAAGGTACTTTTAATTGATCTAGAGATAAAAACTACTGAGCAAAGGTCAGTAACCATTTCAGTAATCTGTTAGAGCCATATCCTGGACAGTCTTGAGGAACTGGGTTAACTGGTTATTTGCATTATTTCACGTCATCCACAGTATTACAAAAACAAGGCATTTTATCAGTTTAGATGATACGCGTGGCTGGCAGCCAAATCCAGTCCCTTATATTCCATATTTTTTCTTAAGGTCTTCTACTTTGTTGATGTAAGCTTTCATGGCATCTTCCTTGGAAGTTCCTGTAAGGAACCGACAAGATTACTTGTCAGAGAGGCAGCGTGGTAGAAAAGCAGCACACTTTAGAGCCCTGGACAGCCCCCGTTTAAGGCTCCAAGGCTCAGTTCCTCATCTGTAAAGTGGGGGTTCTACTACCTACACCTCACAGACCTGGCCAGGATTCGACTTGAAGTACTCAAGGAGCCGGGCCCACAGTGAATGCTCCATAAAGCACTGAACCCATGTGAGTGCAGCTGTCCCAAGGCCTGTCGCTGGCCCCCTGGCCACATGAGTCCTTCACTGTCATGAGTGAGTGGTCAGCCTGAGCCTTGGGAAAAAGGTTGAGCAGTCCAGACAGGCAGGAAAGCCCAACATGGGGAGCCACAGTGACTTTACTGGTCCTGCTGACTCTCACGGTTGGCTTTGACCTATCACATATTTCTCTGTGGGGCTCTCATCTCCCAGAGCTGTAAAGCTGGCAGTGAAAAAGCAAAGCCACACACCCTCTTCTCCCCAGACAGAAGCTCTGAGATAATTTTTGAGACCTCTGAGTAAAAGCAGCTGGCTTTTGGAGGAGGAGGAGACAAAGTTTTGCCTTCTTGTTGCAGTATGCAGGACACTGACTATATCCCTCAGCGACAGGAACACGCAGGTTCCTGGATTCCACGGAGGACAGGGACTCACTGGGAATCAGAACACGTTCTGAAGCTCTGGGGAGTCCACAGGGCCTGAGGGTGCCATGGAAATGCCCAATGAAAACAGACAGCCAGACCGGCATTCCTGTTCTAGTTACTCGCAAATCCTAGGAGTATATTTATTGTATTCTGGCCCTTTTTGAATTCAAGGGTTTCTCATTTGCAGGAAGACAGAGGGCTTATTCAGAAACTAGCTAGCGAGAACACAAAAGCTGGGAGGCACTTTCCTGCCAACTTTTGGGTCTTGCTGCTGCAGGTGGCACGTGATTAAGCTGGCATTGGGATACTTCTTGGCTGCTGTTGCTTAGCATATAATAGCTCCATTCACCGAGGCTACGGCGTGCCAGCAGCTCGCCATGCATTAGCTCATTCCTTTCTTTTATGTGCCTTTCTGGCTGGAAGGGAACTGGGGAGGGCTGCCTGGGCTAGCGGCAAGTGCCTGGCCTTGGCGGGGAGAGGAAGGTGTGGGCAGGAAACTACCCCTTATTCTGAATACATATAAAGCCTACACCAACTACATCGCTTTCCAATCTGTTTTTCAGTGGCTTGGTCTCCAGCTGCTCCTCTCCAGATGATACCATTGCTGAGAGGTGGTGCTATTGGAAAAGGCATAAATGGTATTAGGAGAAAAAGTAGGTGGCCCAGTTTTTTTCCATTCTGGCCCAGGTCAAGTTGGTTTCTAGCATGTGCCTCATTCACTTTGTTTTCTCTCCCCATCCCTTATACTCCTTAAAGAAAAGAATTTCATTACTAGGCTTTACAAACTCGGGAAACTGATTAGAACGATTACCTTTCAGTGCATTCCAGGCATCCCATTTGGCCTTGCCTTTGAGGTCCAACATCCCAGGCCGTTCTTAAACAAGACAAGGAAAGACATTAGATCTGCTTCAGGTTCCAGTGGAGAACTTGATCAGCTTTCCTGTCATGAAAGGCATCCTTTATTATCTCTATTCCTTCTACGCCCTGTCATGGAGTTAAATGGATCTAGTACAGTGCACAGAAATCCAAACAATCTCTAGAGAAAACAGGAGGAAGACTGTTCTCATTACCAGATAGTCTTTGTCTTACAAGTTAACGCCAAAATTTCTCCTTTTAAAAACTGTACTGTAATTTTTTTAAACAAGTGTTATCCATTCACATGACTTAAAATTCAAATGCTACAAAGAAGAATACTCCAAAGTTCCCCTTTCACCCTGCTCTCAGCCACCCAATTTCTCTCCCTCACACACTACTGTTAGCCGTTTTCTGGGTGTCCTTTTCTGTGAACGGTCTGTTCACATCATTTCCCCATTTTCTATCAGACTGTCTGTCGATCTGTGGTTGATCTGTGGGAGGTTTTTTCTGAAGGCAAGCTTTCTTTAAGTTAGACCATGATTTTATGCATATAGAGCTGTTATCAGCTGCACTTGGCGAAACACACCCGCTGCTTCCCTGCCCACCTATCTCCCTGCCGCGCTGAGAACAAAGCCAAGGGGAGCGGTCACAGTGCCCACTGCGTCTGAGAAACATCAAGTCCCCCAAGTGCTTTCAGGGAAGCATTCCCAGGGATCCCCTAGAGAAACCGCCCCTGCAGAGTCATCCTCAGAACCCAGGAGCAGCACACCCCAACAGCCCTTTCTGCGACGATGGAAAGGTACATTGGCACTGTCCAACTCAGGGGCCACTTGTCACTCGTGGCAACTGAGCCCTCGAAATGTGGCTTGTGCGACTGAGGACTGAACTGTGGGTTTTACTTCATTTTAACTATTTTTACTTTAAATGTAGATAGCCGCACGTGGCCGGTGGCTGCTGTACTGGACACTTCAGCCCTAGTGAGCTGACACCTCCCTGATCAGGAAGGGACAGGTTCCCAAGGGGGTCTATCAATACCCATGTGGAAGCAGGGCAGAGGCCAGTCTCTGCGAAAATCGTGTTGGGCAGAAAGGCATCTCAGCCCCTCTGGTCACCCCCACTTCATCGCTCCTCCTCCTCCCTGGGAGGACACAGTTTATAAACCCAGTGTGAAACTTACCTTTGCCAGAAGACCTTTCCCAACTATGCCCTCCCTGTGAACTTATTTAATATTGCCTATAATTCTTATCTCTGGCCACCATCTCCTGCTTCCGGCTGGCTGGCAGCCAGCCCACCGGCTCCACCCTCTACCCCAAATGCACTCGAATTTGGAGCCAGGTTCACTCTCCTGAACAGGGGCAGAGGTGACCTCCTTCTATGCTGCCATGGCCACCACCTCTGAGGCCTTGCATAGACTGCATCGTGCTGTTGCCTCAGTATACACCCGAATCTCGGGGACTTAGTGGCAGAATGAAATCTGTCCAAGGCAGGAAAGATTGTATCACAGGATACGGTAGTCCAAACCACGGCTTCAAAATCTGTACCAAGATGTTCCAACAGGGAAAAAACGTTCATCAGGAACTGTTGTCAGCAAAAATGCTTCTGACCTGCTCCAGGAAGCCAGCTGTTTCTCTGCTCCTGACATTAGGCTTGGCCGGGCTGCCAAGTGCTGCGACTTTGATCCCGTCCATCTGGGGCAGAAGCAGTATGGTTCAACAAAGCTACTACTGAGCTGAGAGCTTGGAGCAAGTCTCTTCCAAGCTGGGGTCTCTCCTTCTTCCCAAGTAGATGGAAAATGCTGGTGACAGTCAATAAAGTCCCTCCAAAACTAGGATTTGAATTCTGCTATTTGAGCAACAAACCAAGGATGCTAAGCCTGCATTCATGAGTAGGGGCCCTCCCAATCTCGTCTCAGCATACCTGTATTTACGTCACCCACGGTCGCTTGTTTGTAGTGGCTGTAGATGAACAGCATTTCATCGTCTGCCGGCTTGGTCTTGAGGTTCTTAACCTCCTCAGCAGCTCTGTCAAACTCAGCCTAAATGGGAGGGAGGGGAGAGGACTCAACAGAGCTCAGTAACGCAGATGGAGGGGTTGGAAAGGCAGCACTCCCCCTGCAATGCAGGTGAGGAAAAGCAATGTGTCTCCCCTCACCTCCTCAACAGGACAGCTAGAAAGATTCTGCAAAACAAGGAGGGGAAGCACACCCATTCACTCATCATGGACAACTACATATTGGGCACCCTCACTATACCAGGGATCAGTGAGAAATACAGGGAACAAATGGTCATCAGGAAATACAGTGTGGAGGGAGGCAGGCGAAGATTGCCTGCAGTGGGCATACATTTCACCGGAAAAGACCGGGGTCCCAGTAAAGCCCTGACCTGTGGACAGGGCAGGCACAGAGCGTGTGAAACAGCTGAGAAGGAGACAGGGCATGAATGTAAGCGGCCAGAGCCCGCTGGTCCCCTCCCTCTGGGGCCAGGGCGTCCAGCGCTGACCTTTGTCCCAGTGCTGCAATGGAGGGAGGGGAGAGGAGCCAGGATCGCCCCACATAGCTGGGTCTCAGAGAAGCGTCTACATCAGAGGGAAGGGAAAGGCCTCTGAGTTACCTCTCCCCAGGCTGCGACCCTCCCCTTCCCGCACGCCGGAGACTTAGCCGGAACTTCCCCTGACCTCCAAGCTCTCAGCCATGGCCTCCTCGATTCTCCACTCTGCATGACGTCCCTAGTCCTGCCCTGTCCTTCCGGATGGGGGCCTCGGTACCCTTGCTCCTTCAATCCATGCAACCCTCTACCTCCCATATTCTACCTAGGACCCTCGCCTTGGACCCGTCTTCCTGCTTCACGGCGAAGTCCACTCATGGGCAACTTTCCAGCAGTTGAGGGTGGGTATCGGTTTTGGGCGTCCAAAACCGGAAAATTCCGCTCACAGGCTCTGTCCAGAGTCAGGGCTGGGCATGGGTCCAGGAGGAACTGCAGAACTGGGGAGGGAAACCCGCGGGGTTCTGTCTGTTGGATGATCCCCACACTGGCCTCCCCCCGCTGCACCTTCGCTGCCAGGCCGGGCACGCAATATACCTGAGACATGACGGCGGGGTTGCAAGGATTCCGGGAAGCGCGCGGAGGCGGCGGGACTAGAAGCCGTGACACCAGACTCAACTGGCAGCGCCTTCAGAGGCACAGCCGCAGGCCTCCCCAGCTCCGCCCGGGCGAGTGCCGGGCAGCCAATCAGAAGTCGGCTCTGCGCTGGGGGCGTGCCCAGTCTGTGCCGCGCCCCCAGCCTTGCCCGAACCCGCGTGTCTGGTCGCGCACGCGCAGGGAGGAGCCGAAGGGGACGCCGGGAGCAGGTGCGGACCGCGGAAGTAGGGCGCCTTTGGTTGTGAAGCGGCGGAGGGCTGTTCGGTCCGAGCGGGGTGTGGTCCCCGGCGGCTGGGCGGGCTGGCCCGCCGGACGAAAGAGGGGGCGCGGAGGCTGAAGAGCAGGGGCTTTTAAATTTCTTTCATTAAATCTTGCGCTCGGCGTGGAGAGGCCGGAAGTTGGGCCTCTGGACAAGTAACCTCAGGCCTGGGGATGGCGAGTGAGTCCCGCTCCGCTCACGGGTCTGGAGGAGGCCCCCGGGGGATGCTCTCCGGAGAGCTGCGCGGCGATGGAAAGCAGGGCCGGTCCCCAGGAGGGCGAAGCCCAGGCCTCTTTCTCTGAGCTCTTGGCGTGTTCTGCCACGTGCCTGTGCCCCAGTTTGCAGTCCTGTAGTGAAACCTTTGTGTCTATGGTGCGCTTCTCCTTCTGGTGCATTGAAGGCGGGGACGGTGTCTTATTTGTCTTGACTTCACACACTTGGCCCAGACCAGGTGCCCAGCAAACATCTGTTAAATGAATGACTCTTTCCTTCATCACACATGCTTACTGAACTCTCGTCAAGTAACTTGCCCTGTGCTAGACCCTAGGGATACGGCAGTGAACAAAACAGATAAATCCCTGCATTCCTGGAACTTATATGGGGAAAACAGTTAGTAGAATAAGTTAAATAGGAAGTTGGTTAGAGGGATAGAGAGTTGGAAGTTTATAGTTTCATGATGACGGGTGGAGGGTTAAGGGACGGTACCATTTGGGAAAGCCCCTCGAAGGGCGGGAGGATTACAGGCAGAAAGTTAATGTAAAGGTGTGAGCAGGGAGTGAGGGAAAGAGCAGAAAGAGAGGAGGCTGGAGGGTTAGGAAGGTGGCGGGCTGGCTGGACGATGCAGAGCTGGGCCTTTGTAGGGACTTTGACTTTTATTCTGAGGGAGAAGGGAAGTGTCAGAGGGTTTTGAGCGTCAGAGGGTTGGCAAGGTTGTTAACACAGGCTGATGCTCTCCGTGGGAACAGAAAGGAGCAGCACAGGTGGATGAAGAGTTTGAGGGTGATGTCAAAGAGACTAAAGGGAGAATTTTCTGGTAGTGGTTACAGAGGAGCTGGGTGAAGGGTTCGCCGGGTGGGATCCCGGGTGTGGACATGGCACCGCTTGGCAAAAGCCATGCTGTGATAGGCGTCCCACGTAGAAAGTAGAGAAAGATGGGCACGGATGTTAGCTCAGGGCCAGTCTTCCTCAGCAAAAAGAGGAAGATTGGCGGTAGTTAGCTCAGGGCTAATCTTCCTCAAAAAAAAAAAAATCGTTCCTCTCCAGTTCCTATTTGTGACAAGAGGACTGGACTACAAATCCCGCCCCCAGTTTACAGCTGTAAGTATTTACAAAGAAAGGCCAGGTGGAAGCTTCCAGACATAACCTCCTAACTTAATATAGGTCAGGCTTTATGAAATATTTGGGAAGAGGTGGAGATGCAGTAGCAGAGAACAAATCTAGAGTCTTCAGTTTGAATAATTTTGTCTGAGAAAGCAAAGCCAAACAAGTTAACAAAAATCTTGGAGTGAAATTTGGGGAAATTACATTTGGAGTGTAAGGAATGGAGGTTTCTTCCAAAATGACAGTTCAGAGCTATTTTTCCCTCTGAGGCCTGGATGAAGCCTGGATTCATTTTTGCTCCATCATGGTGCTTACAGCTTCCTTGATGGAAATTCAGATTATTGCCTCTGTGGGTCAGGTTTGTAAGGAAATGTGTCTCCCAGTCAGCAGGTTTGAACATTAGGTTATCATGTTTGGCACATTTGAAAACATTAGGTACCTGTGATAATGTAATTTTCTTATATTCCTCAAAGATTAGTTGGGGTGATTGAGTTTTGATTGGCATTAAATGTAGAAGACAACGATAGTGTTTGAAAGTAGCTTGGCAGTCTCCAGTTTAAGTGGGGTTGATTTGTTGGTTGCTTGTTTGGAATATACTCCACTTTCCTAAAAAAAAAAAAAATTTCCTCTTACTGTGTTTAGGCCCCGGTGAGTCTATAGAAGTTGCTTAAAGACGCTGAAGTGAGGAACTAGTAAGGACGGTGGATCCCAAGGAGCAGGCTGCTAAGTGATTTGACAAAGAGGAGAAGGAAGTGTTTTTCCTTGTTACAGGGCCTACCCTGGGCCAAGTTTCAAAATAGCTGAAGGCGTGCTCTGTGGCCTACCTCCTGCTTCCTTTCCTCACTTCTCAGTGATGTCGTTTGGTCATCTGCACCTGTGGAAAAGCCTACCACTTACCACTTCTGCTCTGGGGAATTGGAGTGGAGTCCAGCTTTTAACATAAGGAGATGGTACAAGCCAGCATCTGGGACTTAATTTGTAAAAGTAAATTTTAGAATATATTTGGGGTCAATAAATTATATGAATTTTTTATTCTGTATTTTGATGGAACCGGATGGGAAATTGCACTTCATACCCCGAGAAAGTACAAGTTCCTCAGCTCTGTTTATATCCTTGTTAGCAACTGTCATCCTTTGTAATTATTTTGTTTACAATGACTTCGATTTTAATTTACTCTCCTACTGTCTGAGCCCCCTCGCCTACATAAGCTGGTGAGGATCGGAGTCGCTTTGTATGGTGGGTGCTCTGTCTCCAAGCTCCTGGCAGTTCTTAGGCCCTCAACAAATTGTGGTGAATGCACAGAGGACTTTTCACTCTAGGAAGAGTATTCCTTCCAATTAGCTGTGAACTTGGAAACCAGCTATTTTTATTAGAACTGAATGTGAAACTGTGGGCTTGAGTAAAGTAGATGAAGTCTGGTGCAAGGACCGTGTAATCTCTGTCCCACTCCCAGCCTTGGAAGCAGAACACTTGAAATGTTGAGGGAAGACAGGGAACATGATGAGCCAAACCGGTCAGCCTGCTCGACCCTGCCAAGAAGTAGAGAGTCTGCTGTCGTTACTGCAGCTTGCCCAGATGTCCTGGGGACACCGGTTTTGACTACTCACAGGCTTCACTTGCTAGGTCTCAGCGTAAAGCCAGACGGGCAAGACAGATTAACAGAGATGAAAACAGTTCTTGCCCTGTGGGTGTGAATAGTAGTCTAATACCAGGTTTCTTCATGTAAACGAAAGCTTCAATTTCTAAAAGTAAGCTAATCATTTAAAAATGGACTACAGTTACAGTAAAGCCTTACGAGAAGGCAAGGATTAGAGTATTCACAAACGATGAATGACTTTCATTCAGTGCTTTTCTTTTTCCTGTTTCTTGGAATGTGACTCCTGAGGCCTGGCTCCAGCAAAGCTGGGAGGAGACTAGTGTGTTTTAAGGGGAAAGGTGCTCTTGGGAAATGCTTCTGGGTTGGGAGTGGGGAGAGGCAGGCAGAGAGGGTCAGGACTGACAGGAGGGGATAAGGATGCAGCATAGCTTCGCTCTCTTTTCCCTTTCTTTTTTCCTTTCTTTTCTTCTCTGTTGTCTCTTTTCCTTTTCTCGTGGCACAACTGTAGTGAGAGGAGGCCTGGCGGCTGGAGGTCTAACCGGCCCCTCCCCTCTGCCATTCTCTTCCTTTGAGTGTTCATATGCGGAGGGATCTCAGCAAGTTGGGCGTGAGAGAAGAGTGAGTGTGTGTGTGTGTATGGATCCCACGTGTGTGTGTATGATTCCCTCCCCCTCGTGTTTCTGCCCAGTCACGTTTGGGAGGGTCGGTTGGGCTGAGGTGAAACCCAGAGACCAGGGCTTGGGAACAGGGGGTTCTGGCGGGGAAGTGCCCTCTGCTATGCATAAGTTGATCATATATTTGTCAGGTGCTACCTATATTCTGTTTAGAAATACTTAGGATTATGGGCAGGAATAATGAAGCACCTTACAAGGATAACTTGAGTTTAGAATGGTAGTTCCTGTTCAAGGTCATTAGAAGTATAAACTCTCTTCTAAATCTATGTTGTCTTCTTCATCTTTGCCTATTTCCCTTGCCCCTAGTTGCATATGACGAGCACTTGGTAAATGCTTTGGAACTAGGTTGTTAAGAGATAAATTTTCTTTCTTTTTTTTTTTTTTTTTTGAGGAAGATTAGTCCTGAGCTAACATTTGCTGCCAATCCTCCTCTTTTTGCTGAGGAAGACTGGCCCTGAGCTAACATCCATGCCCATCTTCCTCTGCTTTCTATGTGGGATTCCTGCCACAGCGTGGCTTGACAAGCAGTGTGTAGGTCTGCACCCGGGATCCAAACTGGTGATCCCTGGGCCGCCAAAGTGGAATGTACGAACTTAACCGCTGCGCCAACAGGCTGGCCCCAAGAGATGAGTTTTCTAGTGAGCTCTTGTATTGCCTGTCAATGACAAAATTAGAAATATTAAAATCTGATGACAGATGGGTTGGCTGGTAATTCCTTTGGAGACAATGCCGTTTTAAACTTTGTTTTTATTTTGAGATAATGCCAGTTAAAAGAAAACTTCTAATTTTTATTTTGAGATAATTGTAGATTCACGTGCAGTTGTTAAATAATACAGAGATACCTAGTATCTCCCAATAGTAACATCCTGCAAAACCATAATACATAACACAGTCAGTAAGATCCAAACATTATTTAAGATATGGACTATTTCTATCACCAAGGATCACTTATATTGCCCTGTGATAGCCGCAGCGGCTTCCCTCCTGCCCCTACCCCATCCTTAGCCCCTGGCAACCAGGAATTTGTTTTCTAGTTCTATAATTTTATCATTTCAAGAATGCTTTATAAGTGAAATCATGTAGTTTGTAACCTTTTGGGATTGGGTTTTTCACTCACCATAATTCTCTGGTGATTTGTCGAGGTTGTTGTGTGTACTAAGGGTTCGCTTGTTTTTATTGCTGAGTAATATTCCATCATATGGATGAACCAGTT